CAATTCAGTTCAAAATGTCCGAACATTTCTCTTCCAACTCTAAAACTCATGATCCAGAGAGTCCCGATCAAGAAACAGATAAGTCTGAGAATCCAAGAGATTCTCAAAACACGACAACACCATCTCCTGACTCCTCAAAAAGCATTCCAACTGCAAACGGAAAAGGTGGTCCAAACGATCTGCGGAACAAGAATAAAAAACGAAGACTGAGGAAGTACCTTACTAAAGATGAAGGTTATTACTCAACGTCAAGTACACCTAAATCATTAGGCAAGTGTGTACTTTTTTGTTGTCTTAGGAACCTAAAAACAAAAACAAAACACTCCTCATGCAATATCTTGTTTGCTTGTATTCAAAGAGAAAATAAAGCGTAAATATGATTAATGATATTTTTCATGAGTCTAGGGGGAAAAGTTTGAAATAAAAAAAGTTTAGAAACATAGCATCAAAAAATGCTGTAAGAATGGAATGGTTAGTAGGCTGGCAGTTACGTTTTAACCCGTGTTATAAGAATGAAATGGTTAGTAGGCTGGCAGTTACGTTTTAACCCGCGTTATAACAATGGAATGGTTAGTAGGCTGACAGTTACGTTTTAACATGTGCTATAAGAATGGAATGGTTAGAAACATATCATCAAAAAGTAAAAATACATAAGAAATAGTTCTTGTTGTAATCGTTATGTTAAGATTTTGCAAGGTCCGTATTTTTAATATCATAAAAATATATTTCCAACATCCTTTGTAAAACTAGTGTTATAGACTCCTCAATTCGAAAGATAATTCTCTGTTCCAGTTTTTAATTTACTTGCTTGGCTTAACTACATACAAATCATTGATGCACCTCTACCACTAGTTGAGCTTAATTCCTGTACTACCTGTATTACTAGGGCAAAATTTAAATATTAGACTTCTCAATAGTTTGTGACCTGTTTATTCATTACATTATGCAAGTATCCTTTTGGTTCTGGTCTTGTATTGTTAGTATAAAATACAACCGTACCTAAGAAAATCTGATTGTATTAAAACGTTGTTTTTTTTATATAGAAACGTTAGATTCTATAATCATCATAACAGTTTTTCTTTATAAATAGTCCACCCCAACTCCTCCACATACACTCGTATGTATGACTAGATATGTGAGTGTGTTACATTAGTTGTTATAATTTCAAACTTACAGAAAAAAACTTCATACAAATAAGCCAATGTTAAAAAAGGAAAAATATATTAAAAAAATCAGAGTGAAATGATTTTATAATTACCGTTATTTATAAAATAATTAATTGTTGTTATAGTTTTAGCGCAAAGCTAAAAATTTGATTATCTGCGCTATGTCCGCCACGAGGAATCGAAGCCCGAATTTTAAATTTTTAATAACTTCTGATCAAAAGCAAGCTGAATCTGTAGATCATAACTAAAAGATAACATACGTTAATGAAGCTAGATATGTACAATAAACTGATAACAATACTTAACTAAATAGATTGATCAAGAAAACGACAAGCTGTTCCAGTGAAGTTAAACCTGATATTTCTGTTCAGTTTATATATCAACAAAACTAAAACGTTGAACTATTTTTGCGCAAACAAGGATTTGTTTTCTCAGTATGAATGATATTCGTTATTTTCAGCAGCCCATAAAGTAGTTCTACTTTCTGGGACTAGTGTGTCGACCCTTCCGGGTCAAGTAAGCGCAACGGACAGTCGGAAACTTCCAGACCTGGCGGACGGTACGTTGACCGAGAATGCCTCAGAGGATGGAGAAGGAGATGACCGCCCGACATGGGGGAAAAAAGCCGACTTTCTACTTTCCATCATAGGCTTTGCTGTGGACTTAGCGAATGTATGGCGATTCCCTTACCTGTGCTATAAGAATGGGGGAGGTAAGTAGGCTGGAAATTACGTTTTAACCAGTGGTATAAAAATGGAATGGTTAGTAGGCTAGCAGTTACGTTTTAATCTGAGCTGTAAAAATGGAATGGTTAGTAGACTGGCAGTTACGTTTTAACTGTGCTATAAGGATGCAATGGATAGTAGGCTGACAGTTACGTTTTAACCTGTACTGTAAGAATGGAATGGTTAGTAGGCTGGCAGTTACGTTTTAACCTGTACTGTAAGAATGGAATGGTTAGTAGGCTGGCAGTTACGTTTTAGCATGTGCTATAAGAACGGAATGGTTAGTAGACTGGCAGTTACGTTTTAACCTGTGCTGTAAGAAAGAATTGTTAGTAGGCTAGCAGTTACGTTTTAGCCTGTACTGTAAAAATGGAATGGTTAGTAAACTGGCAGTTACGTTTTAACTGTGCTGTAAAAATGGAATGGTTAGTAGACTGGCAGTTACGTTTTAACTGTGCTATAAGGATGCAATGGATAGTAGGCTGGCAGTTACGTTTTAACATGAACTATGAGACATTCCTGGTTTAAAAAAAAATCTTTGTTGAAGTTAGGGAGTCAGAACCACACCTGGTCAATAATAAAACTGCATGGTTTTGTTAAAACTTACGAATAAGAAATATACCTGATCTATACCGAAAGTGGTGTTTATTAAAAATAAGGAATTATTATAGTTATGAAAACATAACTGCAAGCCTACACTAACCATTTCACAGGTACAAGCATAGCTGTTTAGCCTACTCACTACCTCCATTCTTACCTGGTCAATAAATAAATAAAAATTGTAAAAGAGTAAAAGTAGTGAATAAGAGCCATTCCTGGTTTAAAACATCTTTGTTAAAGTTAGGGAGTCAGAACCACACCTGGTCAATAAATAAATAAAAATTGTAAAAGAGTAAAAGTACTGAATAAGTGTTTCTTATTCCCTATCTTCTGATGCTCGTGTTTGGAGCAATGCCTCTGTTTTACATGGAACTTGCACTTGGCCAATACAACCGTTTGGGCCCCATCAGCGTTTGGAAGATTTGTCCACTTTTTAAAGGTAGGCACTGGTATAAAGATCATCTGCATGTGCTAAAGCTTGTCATTCATAATAGAAATCATTCTAGTTTTTCTTTACTGATACAATATCTACAAAACATAGGGTCTCTGTCATCTTTCGTTGTCAGGGATTTGATGTAAAAGTTTGTATTTTAACGTATTTCTTGGCCAGTTTATTTTTATATCAACGTTGTAAGAACGGCATATTATAATCTTTGTTTTTTCATTTTTGTTTAGTTTGCTAAACGTCAGTTGTGCAGAGAAGTGTAGTTTTGGATACATAAATTAATTGTTAGTTTTGATACGTCGCTTATTTCTTTAGCTCTGAAAGCTGTAATAGCTAATTTCACTTTTTTAGATAATAGAGCATCCTAAGAATATATCATACGTTTTTTTATGTTTTGCATTTTTTTAGCGTTTCCCTTTATTCTGTAATGTTTTCATTTTCCCACAAAATAATAGATGATTTAAATAAAATTGGCTTTAAAGTAGTAAGTAGCAGAGGGAAACGAAAAAAAAAACGTATACAGTGTGGAGGGAGATTTTTGTAGAAACGGAACGCAAACCACGAACCCTTGTATTCAGAGCCCGATACACGCTAACCATTTACCTACGCTAGGTCCTTGTGAAGATTAAGTTCAAGAAGCAGGCACTAAACCGGTTGCAAGAGGGAGAATTGAAATGCTTGGCAAACTCGTACAGATAACATAGACGATAAAGTATGGGGTTTTAGAATTCCTTATGAGCATACCTAAAAGATCCTGAAAGTTTCATGGTGATTCAGAGGTCGAGAAGTCGGAAAGTTTTCGCTTTACAGTATGGATTAACAAGTATAGATATAAGCCCTGTCACGCGCTCTCGACGTCACTTTCATCTCGTGTGTTCAACAAGGCCTCATTACAAGACTAATATTCTTTTATTAATGACTAGTATGTCACTCACTGCTTTCACTTGATATCATATGTGATCGCGTTGACGCAAGGTATTCAACAAGAATAGAGTTCCAGGATGATTAAAAGCGAGGTAGAAGTAATCAGTTTCTTCATGAAGAAGATAAAAGATGATTATATACAAACACACCCACAGCTGAAATAGAACAACACAAGAAATTAATTCTTGGAAGTTTGTTTGTTTGTTGCCCACCACGGGTATCGAAACCCGGATTCTAGCGTTGTAATGCCGCTGTGCCACTGGGGGGGGGGCAATTATTGAAAGAAAAATAGTTCAAATGAAGGGGTGTGAGCAATTTGAACACACACAAAAAGAAACTCATATCGCACAATTAAATTAAATTAATCCAGAACAAATTACAAAATATCTAAAATAAATGATAGGAAATTATACATGTTAGTAAAAATAGTTACAAATTTAATGTTTATTCTTTAACCACAATCTTGACTTTTATTGAAACTTGAAAGAAATACTCTCCTATCTAATGTGTCTTTTAACAAGACAGTATGAACATAAATTGTTTTCTATTACTAGGTTTAGAAAGTATAGTGCATATAAACTGTTTTCTATTAACACATTTGTTCACCGGTGGAGCAACGGCAAGTTTAGAGACTTACAACGCTAAAATCAGGAGTGCAGATAGCCCCAATGTGATTTTGCTGTCAGGTTTAGACTGACACATTGTAGTGAATACAAACTGCTTTCTCTTAACAGGTTTAGACTGGCACACTGTAGGGAATACAAACTGCTTTCTCTTAACAGGTTTAGACTGGCACACTGTAGGGAATACAAACTGCTTTCTTTTAACAGGTTTAGACTGGCACATTGTAGTGAATACAAACTATGTTCTCTTATCAGGTTTAGACTGGCACATTGTAATGAATACAAACTGCTTTCTTTTAACAGGTTTAGACTGGCACATTGTAGTGAATACAAACTATGTTCTCTTATCAGGTTTAGACTGGCACATTGTAATGAACAGAAACTGCTTTCTTTTAACAGGTTTAGACTGGCACATTGTAGTGAATACAAACTATTTTCTCTTATCAAGTATAGACTGGCACATTGTAGTGAATAGAAACTGCTTTTTTTTAACAGGTTTAGACTGGCACATTGTAGTGAATACAAACTATTTTCTTTAAGGTTTAAACTGGCGCTTTTTAATGAATACAAACTGTTTTTATCAGGTTTGGACTGGAAGAATTTTGTGACTATAAACGTTTTTCTCTTGTCTAGTGATATGTTTATTTTACAGACAAACTACTTAGTATTCGTAGTTTTACGTAACTCTATACTTTATATGTTAAGATACAAACAACACAACCTTGAAACTTAGAATGTAAAATCAGTTACACTACCTTTACCCAGTCTGAATGCAAGTACTGTACTGGTATTTTAGATTGTTCTTACAAATAACATTAGAAAGTGAGCAAATGTCTGTATCCTAATATGTTTGTTATATTTATGAAAAATGTCGGCATGTTTCCTTTGGCCACAAATCTAACATCAGGAGAAAAGTTCGGGTTTCAGGTAAGTGTGGTAGATAATTCTCTAAAGCTGGACGGAGAAACAGGAATAATTAGTCTTATAGTATAGTCGTAAGTGGTAATAAAATGTCAGGGTGAAAGTTTTGTAAATAATCCTCTTTTTGGAAGAAAAATAGACTGATTGCATTATTCCCGAGAAAGGCGAATGACTAGAGTTCTATATTCCGTATTCTCAAAAGTACAATATTGCATGAACTCCCTATTGTTCAAATATTATTTCTTTTCCATAAATTAATGTATTGGTAATTGAGTATTAAGTATTATCTTAAAGATCACATGGAAATCGCCCGAGACAATCTGGTTTGACATGCAGAGCAGCAGATACGTGGAGGAATTGTGACACCGTTATCAATTTCAGCTCACGTGTTGAACTCAGAATTAAGATATAATTTTATAGCGAGAAGGCTAATACTGCATTTGACGAAATATACTTTGTCACTGCTATAAAGATTCTATGGGAAATTGGATGTAACTAATAAGTTGACAGTTTCGAGAAAGCAGTTTTTGCACTTATATAAGTAGATCGAATTGATCTGCTCTGTCATCAACGAAGAAACTAACGAAGAAATACAGCTACAGCGTAATCATATCTGACAATACAGAAATGGTCAAGGTCTTGCAGCAGTTTTAATCATTTCACGACTGTTGTTATATATGACATGTCTTTAACATCTTCAGTGGTGTATTTATTGTTTTTGATTTAAAAAATTAAACGTTAAATAGTCACATTACAATTTAACAAATACAAGCATTTCACTTTTACAGAGAGAGAAGCTGATCAACTCATATTAAAAGTTGAAATTTTAGTAAGAAACGAGTTAATCAACTTATATTGCAGATGGTTAATGCAGTGAGAGACGGGATGCTCAACTTATATTAAGTGTTTAACATAGCGATAACGAGTTAATCAACTTATATTAAATGTGTTTAACGTAGTGAGAGACGAGTTGTACTAAAAGGTTAAAATTCAAGGAACTTGTGTATATATTTAAAATACTGTTGATAGAGCAGTGAGGAAATTTAACAAAATAAATGTTGCACAAAAAAAGTAAACTAAAATCAACATTTGATAAAATAGATTAAAAGGAAATGTTGTTTTTACCATATATTACACGTTTATCATGTCAAATTTTTCATAAATTCAAAAAAATAAGACAAAGATCTTATTGCCATTTACAGACCATTGAATAACATTAGTCAAATATTAAATAAAACTAAACATAAAATGAATCTAATGGGAAAAAAAGGTGTATATACATATATATATAGTTCAATGTTAATGTGGTTGTGCATAAATTGGTCAAACTAGAAGAAACTTAAAATTTAGAATAAATGAACATAAGAGACATGTTTAAATCAAAAGTGAAAAATCTGCTTTAGCTGAACACGTAAATTAGACATTATATAAATCACAGTGGAAAAAAACGGTTATTTTGGCTCAACCGAATAGTATGACTGCTTGAAATATTAGAGAAACCATTGAAATAACGAAACACAGCAAAAACAACTTGATCTTAAATAAGGAAGAAGGGTTAGAAAATTAGAATGTATGTAGATGACGGGATCTTCTTTTTGGAATTGTAAACGAGTAGTCACATGACCATGGCTTTTGTATTTATGTAGTAGACAGTAACTGTTTTTCACACTCCTGAAGATGACGTGAACCCATGTTGAAACATGTAGAGCGACTTTTACAACCGTTGATCGGTTTAAATAAAGATTTTAATTGTGTTTTTTGTTTGTGGATTTTAATATTTTGAATTACGTGTTTAACATAATGAGAGACGAGTTAATCAACTTATAAGTTTTTAACGTAGTAAGAGAGAAGTAGATCAACCTATATTAAGTGTATTTAACGTAGTGAGAGACGAGTTAATCAACTTATATAATAAGTTTTTAACATAGTGAGAGATAAGTTGATCAACTTATATTAAGTGTATTTAACGTAGTGAGAGACAAGTTAATCAACTTATAGTATAGGTTTTGAACATAGTGAGAGACAAGTTGATCAACTTATGTTAAGTGTATTTAACATAGTGAGAGATGAGTTAATCAACTTATAAGTTTTTAACGTAGTAAGAGAGAAGTAGATCAACTTATATTAAGTGTATTTAACATAGTGAGAGACGAGTTAATCAACTTATATTATAAGTTTTTAACATAGTGAGAGCAAGTTGATCAACTTATATTAAGTGTATTTAACGTAGTGAGAGACAAGTTGATCAACTTATATTAAGTATATTTAACGTAGTGAGAGACGAGTTAATCAACTTATATTATAAGTTTTAACATAGTGAGAGACAAGTTGATCAACTTATATTAAATGTATTTAACATAGTGAGAGACGAGTTAATCAACTTATATTATAAGTGAGAGACAAGTTGATCAACTTATATTATCAGTTTTTAACGTAGTGAGAGACAAATTGATCAACCTATATTAAAAAGTTGATTAACTCGTCTCTCACTATGTTAAATACACGTATTGCAAGTTTTTAACGTAGTGAGAGACAAGTTGATCAACTTATATTAAGTGTATTTAACATAATGAGAGACGAGTTAATCAACTTATAAGTTTTTAACGTAGTAAGAGAGAAGTAGATCAACTTATATTAAATATATTTAACGTAGTGAGAGACGAGTTTATCAACTTATATTACAAATTTTTAACGTGGTGAGAGACAAGTTGATCAACTTATATTAAGTGTATTTAACATAGTGAGAGACGAGTTAATCAACTTATATCATAAGTTTTAACGTAGTGAGAGACAAGTTGATCAACTTATAGTAAGTGTATTTAACGTAATGAGAGAAAAGTTGGTCAACTTATAGTAAGTGTATTTAACGTAGTGAGAGACAAGTTGATCAACTTATAGTAAGTGTATTTAACGTAATGAGAGAAAAGTTGGTCAACTTATAGTAAGTGTATTTAACGTAGTGAGAGACAATTTGATCAACTTATGTTAAGTATTTAATAATGACAAACGAATCAATTAATATATATTACAAGTTTTGTTTGTTTTTTGTTACAAATTAGTTACATGTACACGTACATGAGTTATTACTGAATTCAATTAGACCACATTTTTATAGGATGATTCTATATAATTGGTTCTTATAAAAACATTTCAAATAGTTATTATACAAGATTCAGAAGTACCAAGCATCTTACTTCAACTTGCACTTTCACCAGTTATAACTGAGTTCAGCATCATTCTGCGCACTGTCTTTATGTTTCTTATGATCACCACTAGGTGTCGGATACTGTGCAGTCCTAATTTCCTGGTATGTGTCCTTCTACTATAACGTCATAATTGGCTGGACCGTGTACTTCATCTACAAGTCCTTCAGCTCTGAGCTTCCCTGGATGAAATGTGGGAACGAGTGGAACACAAACCTTTGCTCGACTGGAGGTCTTCCAAATTCCAGTGACGTCAATTCTACGGATCTAAATGTGCTGAACAAAACATCGCCGGCACTTGAGTTTTTCGAGTATGTCCAATAAAAGTTAATAAACTACATTGTTTACTAGAAACTACACACATTTCGAACGTCTAGAACACATTTTATCTTTTCGTTAAATTACAAGTTTAGGTGAGCGTATAGTTTATTAAAAGTAAAATTATGTTCTAAATGTTTTATATTTCTATGTTTCGAACGCACGGCATAAATCCTTTACTTTATTTAATTATGTTTATTAAGTATACTTTCCACGTAAACATGTAAACTACTAAATATTTTAATAGATATAACGCTGAATAAAGAAATTAAAAATATGAAAATGTGTTTTCATAAAAAATATAAACATAATTTCATTGACTATTGTTCAGAATTATAGCTGTTTAATATGAAAATCACTTGATTTTTTAATTATACATATATAAATTTAAAACGTGATTTTTGCAATCAAAAACTTGCTTCTCTTCTACAGCTTTTTCTGAAGCCAATAACAGTTTATTTCAAAAATCAGTGCGCGAGCTGACCTTGTGGTAAAGTTATAAGTTTTAGAGCCTGGTTTCAATCTGTGTGATACCACCAGGTATTGCCGACACTTTATAGTTCATTATAAGAGTGACAGTTAATACCTTAACGTAGATGGAGGGTGATAGGATGCTGCTGATTGACTGTCTTCCATCTGGTCAGTAGTTAAGAATTAGAGAAGGCAGCAGATACCTTTATATACATGAAATACAAATAAAATTCAAAAATCAGGGACTACATTTTACAAAAATGGAAGCACGTTTAAGCTCAATTTCCTGTTCCAATATTCAACGTGTTTTGTGTAATAAAAACATACCACCTTTCAGTCTTTAATTTCTTAACTACAAACACTGTTAGCGAGTATTTAAAGAAGTAAAACACTTGTTAGATCGACTTAAATATAAATAATAGTTGTTGAACATCTAAAGTCAAATTATTTCTTTAGATTACACTATGTAAATCTCGAAATTAACGTAGTGAGACACAAGTTGATGTTCTGTGTTATTAATCACTTGGTGTTTTATATTTGTGTTTTTATTTTCCAGTCGGGAAGTTTTGGAGGTTCATCTGAGTACCGGGTTTCACGACTTGGGCGCCCCCAGGTGGCAGCTTGTAATTTGCGTCTTTATTGTATTTCTTATACTTTATTTGTCGCTGTTCAAAGGAGTAAAATCATCAGGAAAAGTACGTGTTTATTTAGTTCGCCCATCTTTCAAGATTCAAGCCATATACGTTTGTTGTGATATGCCATATTCATACAGTTGTATGGAGTGTATATAATATATATATATATATGTTTTATTTGTTGCTAAAATTATAATCTAATTTTCCAAGCTACCCTCTCAAGATCCCCCTATCATGTGAAATTGAAAACTAAAAATAAATATCTTTACTTGTATCACTGACATCGACAATAAAACACATACTTGTAGTTTATGATAAAGTGTAACTGGGAGAACGTTAAATAATAAGTACAGCACAATTTTCAAAATCTGAAATCCTGTTAAAAGTCAAAAAGTAAAAAGAAAAAGTTACATTCCACTTTTAAGTTACCTTAACTGTTTTCATTATTATTAATTAAAAATCAAGTCCAGCTATGAGTCTCAATAATTGCTTTATATTAGTCAAAAATCAAGTCTGTCTATAAGTTTCAGTAATGTTTTATATGACATAAGAATTGAAAACGAGAACTCAGTTTGATTCTAATCATTATTTGCTTCTCAAGATTTTCTATCTGTTTCGCTTGAAATTTTTTTTATCATTTACTTACCAAGATAATTTTATTAAAAATACTAAGTCTAATCTATAGGTTATTATGTCATTCAGATCATGTTCTTTAGTCATTCGTCGTATATAAACTGTTATTGAAATTCGTCGCTGTTACTGTTACAGACATGTAAGGGCCTATCTTTTGTACAGGTCAGCAATTCTTGCCAAAACTTGTGACTTGCATAAAGCTATTCTATTTTTCTCTGACATTGTTGATAGTAAAACCTAACTCACGACCTTTAGGTAAATAAGCCTGTCTTCAATATATATCATCATTATTACGCCAAGGATAACTATTTGTGACGAACCTACTTTAAGCAAACATGACAGCCTTGTAAAGTGCAATGAAGAATTAACTAGCGTGGCTTTAATGTTTAATGCCGGATTGTGAATTCGAAGATTCATGGTTCGCGACCCATTACCGCATTTGGAGCCATGGGCGTACTGTGAGAGTGAAAATGAAATCCCACTATTTGGTCAGACAAGCGTAACCCAAGAGTTGGCAGTGGGTGCTCTTAAAAGAGCTGCCTGATCCCTTAGTTATCAATTCACAATTAGGGACAACTATGCGCATATAACCCTTGTGAAGGCGTGCGCAAAATTCTGGAACAAACATACCTGCTATTAACACACAGTATTGGGTGTAATTATAGAAACTGTGAATGAAAAGGATATATACCAGAAATCAGTTCCACATCAGCATAATGCCCATAGAAGTATTACATGCATTCATACTATTCCCAGTAGTAATGTGCTAAATGCACTCATGGCTCCCAGGATAGAAATGTCAAATAGATCATTGGCAAAATCTCTGCTGGATTATCATGTATCACGTAAAGAACAAACCTTTAGTTTCAGAACTTCACTTTTGAAGAGCTTGGGCTTTTTACCTTGACCTCTTTTATTACCTAAAGTACTAGTTTCAAAGTACCCCTTTCAGAATTTCCACACATATCTAATTTGAATATGAAATTTCACCCCAATTGTTGTATTGAGTAGCTACCCTCTAAACCAACCAAAACTTTAATTTTTACACATTTCTCGGTTGTAAGTGTATAAGTGTAAACGTGACCTCCAGAATAATAAAATACACATTAGCATGAAATGTATCTGTTCAAAAACCACTGCTTAGGAACGATAACCAAACCAAAAGGCTGAAATGGACATCAGGTTTCAAACAATGAGATGAGCAAAGCTGGAAAAGGGTATTCTACACAGATGACTCTATTTTCAAATTATCTGGCAGCAACTAACAATAGTTCATTTGATGGCAGAGAGACTATTGGCATCACAGTCAATGCAGATATACAGTGAAGTAGAATAGGGGTCCAGTGCAATTTTGGTGCTGGATTCCAGCCAATGATGTTGGAAGAAAAATGTGGCCGAAGCAACAATCGCAGCTATGATTTGTTCTGCACAAAGTCCCGATACAGATATAATTAAGGCTGAATGGAACTATATGGGCATTGAGAATGTCAAAAAGTAGCCAAACAACTGAAACAATTAGATTGTAGGGAGTGATACAGAACATTTGGAACAATATTTCACAATTATAAATTATAGACGTATGGTAGCGCAAAATACAGTCTTGACCAAAAAGCTTGCGTATTGTTCTATTGATGTTATTGTCTAAATGCAATGAGTAGAAACATAGAAGGTAGCATATCATCGGACAACATGTACGAGTTGTTATTCTGGTCTGTTTAAGTTGTTTTGAGCATTTGTTTGTCAAAAAACACATGCACACCTGCTTTATATAAAAGGGTGTGATTTTGGTATAATATTTTTCGAAACAGATCAATGTTTTGTTCAGAAAATTTCCCTGAACTTAGTATAGAATCATAACTTGTCACGTGCCATAAGTTATAGGGCATCAAATTGTTCGATTGTTAATAAATGGTATGAAGCAAACGGACATTATCAGAACAGTAGGGTATCCTCAGTGTACTGTATTCAGAATCCTGAAACGTCGTCGGACTATAGGAAATATTCCAGGAAAGCTTAATGGTAGACGCCGAAAAACTACTGTTTGAGATGACCGTGTTTTAATCAGGCTAACATGTCAAGGTTGAAAAAAGTTTTGCAACACCTTACGACAGGAATAGCATGAACACATTCATTCCAGGGTATCCAGGATAATAGGGAAAAGGAGACTGGCCAAACAAGGTTATTTTGCAAGAATGGCTATCTGAAAATCGATATTAACCAGAATTCACCGCCGTCACAGTGTTACTTGGGCAAGACAACATGCCACTTTACAGTTAGGACGCTGGTGACATGTCATCTTTTCAGATGAGTCCTATTTCCGGCTTGTTAAAGCTGTTGGTAGAATTCGGGTTTATCGGTTGCCTGGAGAAAATATGATAGAAGACTGTCTTTCCCACAAGGAACACATAGGAGGTGGTGCAGTACATGTTTGGGCAGCTATTCATCATGATGGAAAAACTGCTCTTCATATCCTCCTGAGAAACGTCAATGGTGACTCCTACAGGCATCACTTGGAGACGATATTTCTGTCATATGCTAGGGCAAGGTTTGACAATAACTTTGTGTTCCAGAATGACATTGTCACTGCCCACAATGCACATACTGTATAGGATTATCTCGACTAGGAGGATCTTACAAAATTGCCATGGCCGAAGAGTCTCCAGATTGTAATCCCTTTGAGAATTGTTGGGCAGAACAGAGACAGAAAATTGCTAACCACGACCCTAATCCAGCTACTGTAGCAGAGTTGCAGCGCCTTCTCGTGACACGTTGGGATGAAATCACGGTGAATTACATCAATAACCTCATCGATATGATGTCACGTCGCCTTGTGGACGTTATTAGAGAACAAGTAGGACTAATGAAGTACTGAATGTATAATATGAACTGATATAATCTTACAGACGCTTTGTATAATAATTTGATATTTTATTTTGTCATTAGATATGTTTCAGTAAGGTTTTGTTGTGATAGGTGAAATGCTGAATTGCACATCTTTCTTCATGTGTCTGATAAAATTGTTTGCTATTCTGATAAATTGTTCATGATGTCCATAGAACTTCTCGCATTATACAAATTACATATGTGTATGTTTAATATAACATACATTTTTAGTTTGACAGCATTAAGTGTACTTTTATCCCATCTTAATAATAATGGTCTTATTTGTTACAAAATATGCAAACATTTTGGCCAAGACTATACACGGGATACTGCTCTATTTAAAACAAATACAAAATACTAGTGTATTGTTTAACTTGTGTCTTTTTATTTACTGTAGTAACGTATTGTACTAGTGATAAAGTAATCATTTAGTGTCACTTAATTTGTTGTTTGTAACTCCTGTAGTTGTATCACTTGTGCTTATCCCAAATTTGTATCGCTTTTGCTTATCCATAACTATTTTCAATGTTGTAATTGTTATTTCCTCCTTGAACTCATGCAATTTTGTAGGATACTGCAATGAAAAACAACACTTTAAAATACACTAATTACAATGACACGGTTTAAACAACTCTGATATTTCCCTTTACTCGATGTTCCAGGTTGTATGGGTCACAGCGACCGCCCCCTACATCATACTTACCATCCTCCTTCTTCGTGGCGTTCTCCTACCAGGTGCCATCAACGGAATGAACTATTACCTCCGCCCAGATGTACACAAGCTTCTAGACTCGCAGGTAAGATATCAGAATGAAGTGTTACCCCCGCCCAGATATACACAAGCTTTTAGAATAGCAGGAAAGATATCAAAAGGAAGTGTCGCCCCCGCCCAGATATACACAAGCTTTTAGAATAGCAGGAAAGATATCAAAAGGAAGTGTCGCCCCCGCCCTGATATACACAAGCATCTAGAATCGTGGGGAAGATATCAAAAGGAAGTGTCGCCCCCGCCCTGATATACACAAGCATCTAGAATCGTGGGGAAGATATATCTCAATTTTTTTTTTAAGTTGTATTCAAACCTCTTAGTTCTCGAAAGTTTTTCTTTGCTTGTTATGCTTTCTTTTCTGAACTGTTACTAGTTACATTGCATCAGATATCGACCAATATTTGCATTAGGGTCTTTTCTAAGTGACTCATTTATTGTGGTTAGGAGAATGACGTCAATCAATATGTGAGGATTGACCTCATTGGCTTTATTTGAGATAATGCATTTGACTTGACATGACTACCTTGGATATTTTTCGACAACCAGAGAATGTCATTGTTCGCTTCCAAGCTCATAACTCTGTAACGACCTTGTAGCATGTTAATATTTCACAACACGCCTAAGTATGCTTAAAGTTCTTTTTGTTGTTGTTTTAATTTTGTACATTATTTTGAATTTTGTAGGTAAATACGTCAATCTGAAGAGACAAGAATAATAATATCTTCTGTGATATCAACACTAACGTATGAAGAGACAAAATATTACTATAATATCTTATACCACGGTCTAAAGAGACAAAAATATTAATATCATATCTTATGCCACGGTCTGAAGAGACAAAAGTATTAATATCATATCTTATACCACGGTCTGAAGAAACAAAAGTATTAATATCATATTTTATACCTCAGTCTGAAAAGGTAAAAGTATTAATATCATATTTTATACCTCAGTCTGAAAAGGCAAAAGTATTAATATCATATCTTATACCACAGTCTGAAAAGATAGAAGCAGTGATATCTTATGCTATATCAGCGAATGGTTCTAAGTACTACTAGTGTAATTTTAGTCATACATGTCTTTAGATGCTCTTTTTTCTCTCTCTCTCTTTCTTTCTTATTTCAACGAAACAGAAAGTGTCATTTCAAAACATTTGATCAAATTTTCTTTCTTCTTAATGGTGTTAATGTCCAGGAGAGTTTTGTTGCAGGTGTGGATCGACGCGGCAGTGCAGGTGTTCTACTCTGTTGGGGTGGGGTTTGGAGTCCACCTCACCTACGCTTCGTACAACAAGTTCCACAATAACTGCTACAGGTGAGTTCTCTTACCCCAAAACGTTTTGAGGAAAGTGACATAAGATATACCAGCTTGAAAGGAAGGATATGTATTATTGTAACTTAATGTAAATAGACTCATGATCAGGTACTATAATAAAGTATTCACTTTGTTAAGTAGAGTCAAATCCAAATTCTGTTGACTACAGCTGAGTAGATATTAACGTCTTTACTCTGTTAAGTAGTCAATATATACTTTAACATTTAGTTTAGTGAACCTTGAATTATTAAGAAAACAGAATTAACGTTACATTAAACTTAAAACCAACAATGAATAAAAAAAGCCAACCATATTTAACATTATGTGCATGTAGATTGTACATAATGGATAACCGCCAAGTCGTCGACAAATAAGTGACGTCGTGATTGTACCGCCTCTACCTTCACTTTCTATTAATTAGTCAGTTGAAACGTGATCGCATCAAGGGTATACTATTATAGTAATACTGTTTATTATCTTAAGATATAGCGTCAGAGCGCCACTAAAAACTGTAACTGCATACACTGAATTCGTTAAACTTTTAACAATATCTTTATCTAGTTTGTATAATCGCTGTTCTTACATGAAGCACGTTATTCTCTCAGAGTGTTGCACTATCTCTTTCTCCCTTTATCTTCTCTAAGGCAGACTAATTAATTTCAGTTTCCAATCAGCTTCAGTCCAACAATAAAAATTAACTTTATATTATTGAATTGAAAATAATTGTACACATGGATGTTAAAGATTTCTCTTCTTTTTTCACCAGAGGTGAAATTGAAAAGAGAATCTGTGATGTAGAAGCCTAATGCATTCTTTGATTAGCCGTACCCTCAAAACCCCATGGTTACAAAAGATGTGCTTATTTCTTTGTGTATACATGCAGACATTAAAAAATTACACATATGTCATTCGGAAAGGAATTATTTCTGTTCAATAATCGTTTTTCTGTGTCGATTCCTTGTGGTCAAACCATCTATTAGATATTTCCAGAAGTATGTCTGTAGACAAATACACATAATAACATCTTCTTCTTGGCCATATTTTGTTTCTTTGAGCCATTTCTATTTTTATTCCTCGTTTGAGAGTTTCTCTATAGCAAAAGTAAAAGTTGAACCGGGTATTCTTAAGTTTACACATTATTATGCTACAGTTGAGGAACGTATGATAGTCGTAATTTACACGGGGTACATTGAGGATTATCCCTCTTAATCTTTCTAAGACGGGGGATGTCTCCCCCTCGCACTGGAGCAGTTCTAAACTTTTATTTCTCTATAATTGTTTTTATAATTACCAGTTCCTTTAGAGGTCATGACGTATTTCATGACCCTACATAAACTGTCACCCCACTTTTGAAACCAAAGTCACGCTACCGAAATAAAGCACGCACGTGCACTCAAGTATATCTGAAATGAATAATCTGTCGACAAGCATAATTTATGCTTTATAGTTATCCTATTTTTATTTTTCGTGCTTGATTTTTGACCTAGTTGTCTGAATAAGCTAGTGGTGACCTGTAGCTGAATCTGTTGTCTTCTCCTTGACACGAATCTCCCCCCCCCTTCTGGTCAATGACTGATTCAGCATTTTGAACAGAAGAAATGTTATTCAATGTGATAATTCGGTCCAAGTGTAAGATAAGTTTACTATAGCTAATTTGGACAATAACTCAATAGATACATCGATTGCGACTGCAGCTCCACCTATCGTAAGCTCCTCGACACCATAGTTCTTCCGTTTTAGTCTTACTCGATCTGATAATTCGGTCGGAGTGTGGGATATTGTTTAGTTTAAGTTTACGGCCAAAAATATTGTTAACATCGAGGGCGCAAACTAGTAAAACAACGCATTCTAATCAATGTAAATAACAAAAATTGAACATCATATTCAATTAGCCATGCTCATCACTAGGTATGTATTTTTAGTTCTATTCTATTTAGGCACCTTACTTTGATCAGAACTTATTATTATTTACTTTGAATAATGGATACAATGATAACGACTACAGCTCCATCTCTCCATCTTTCGTCATCTCTTCACCATGATAGAGTTTTCACTCTAGTATTAAACGGTCTAATAACTCGTACGTTATACGATCTATGTTGAAGATAAGTAGGGATTCGGCATCTATTAACGCTTTATTTCAATAACGTGATATTACAACTTATGATCCCGTTTAAGTCTTCAAATCTTTGTTACCATTTCTTTAGCCCCTTTTCTTTTCCACAAGGATAAATGACATCCGTAGGTATAAAAAATGGACCGTTACTTGAGAAGTTCTTGTTAATATGAATACGTTCCCTCAGTGTACCAAAACTGTTCCCGAGCTACTTTATAGAACGAAAGTGATTACAAACAGCATTTTTGTTTTCGTGTCACTGACTTGGTTGACCTTCCCTAGTGTAAAACCTGCGCCAACTCGTAAAGGATTTTCGGCATGTATCGTTACAGCGTGTTCATGTTTCTGTTTTCATAATAATAATAGTAAAAAAAAAGACAACAGAAGATAACCGAAACTTTTACCACGACATTTGCTCGTAAAAACATATGCTGCTTCTTACCCTGATAAGAAATGCAATTAAGATAAAAATCGTTAAGCAACGTCTAAACCAAAATAGGTTTCGTAGCGAGCTACGATCTAACATTTTGTTCTAATGTAGAAGCTGGTACGTGTATGTCGTCTCCATTCAATGATCGTTTTTCCGACGCTTAAATCAAGATTTTGCATATTCAAATAACAACCATAAAGATAGAAATCTCTGACTATTATAACATGTATTCGTACGCCATAACATAGAAATCATCAAGTTTTTGTGTGTTTGTATTACAAACGACAGAAATCACCAACTTGAAAACTAATTATTCATACGCAAGGAGAAGATAGAAATCACCAACTTGAAAACTAATTATTCATACGCAAGGAGAAAATAGAAATCACCAAATTGAAAACTAATTATTCATACGCAAGGAGAAGATAGAAATCACCAACTTGAAAACTAATTATTCATACGCAAGGAGAAAATAGAAATCATCAACTTGAAAACTAATTATTCATACGCAAGGAGAAGATAGAAATCACCAACTTGAAAACTAATTATTCATACGCAAGGAGAAGATAGAAATCACAAATTTATAAAATGTGTATTCATACGCAAAAGAAGACAGAAATCGTCAAGCATACCTAACGTCCGTAAATCGTAGTTTTTAACTATTAAGTAATGTCTAATTGCGTTATAGCATTCCATATGTTTAATATGCCGTCGTTTAAAATGCAAAAGCAGTTCAGCATGTTCGGCATCCTAACAAGGACGACGACGCTCCTTTAAAAATACATTAAGGTTTTAATTGATTAATAGTGCATTCTATGCACTACAAGTTTACCCTAAATACTAATCTTTACCAAAAGTAACTTGCATCTTTTAGTATACTTTTACAAAGGTTAAGCACGTTATATTAAAACGATTTTGGAGCCTCACCACGTAGTTATAGTCCTTGTCGCCACGCCTTGTCATGCTCTACTTGACGGCCTTGTATCTTGACAATAGCGCTGCAGTGTAGTTTCCTCTGCCAAAGGTTCCATCGTAAGGTTTTTATATAAAAAGCTTTCCATTATTTCCTGATTGCTTTCAGTAAGTCATCTAACATACTAAGACGATGGTTTCCTAGCGCCCATTTAAACAGTCTGAACGTACAGGAATCTATAGCCAAGTTTACTGATATGTCTTCGTATAGAATAGTATGAATACCTGTTTATTCTACAGCTGCTTGAGATATGTGAAGGTCGAACGGACATGTCGTAGAAGGACATCTTTCTTGACTATCGGTCATATTGTTGTCTGAGACAAGTGGAAGGCTTTTTTTTTGTGTCACTAACCTTTGTGTTCGTGGATTTTCACCTGTTAAGAGACGCCGCACATTGCTTACTACGGCTGAAATACAACTTGTTGCAGGTCTCTTTCTGGATGATCTTGGTACCCAAGTTAATCCATATTTCCTTGTTTTTCAATGCCATTAAGTATAGAGGATATCTTCGTCTTGAAAATAATAAATTCTCGATCTGAACATATTTTTATGACGTGGATGTATGAATACTTTGCATGTGAAAGGACTGTTGCAAACCTTTTCCAAAAGCGATCAATTTTCAGTTACTTCACACTACCTACGAACACAACAATGTCAAAATGTAGTTGTGATACATTCCGATCCGCAGCGACTTTATATCTGCTGTGGTTGTCGCGTGCCTTGCTGATTTGCGTATTAAAAATAGTTTTAATGTAACTCACTCAACCTTTTATATCCCCCAAGATAGGTAATCAGCAAGTCACTAGTAAAAGTCTCTAATGGCTCATCGATAAGAGTGAGGGCTTATCATTCCGTAATTATGAGTTCGATCCTACTCTTGGAGACAGTGCACAAAGACAATAATGTAGCTTTCTGCTAAAGCAACAAAACAAACAAACACTTGCAATGAATAATATTTGCAAATAAAGAAGATAGGAAATGATACACCACGCATATCTAAGGGAATTGTTATATTGTGAGCAATAAGTTTATATGGTTTGTTCATGCTTAATAAAACTAACTATTTATGCGTCACGTTAATCAAATTAAAAATTCTGAAGAGCTGGGCGTGGCCTAGTCATGACTGTGCCCGGAATATGAATCTGGGAATTCATGTTTCATGACCCTGTGTCACAAAAACGCCATCTATTCTTTGGGTACGTGGGTGCACTATCAGAGTGAGGGTAAAATCCTACTAATAGATCAGAGAAGAGTGGCTCATTAGTCTGCGGTGAGTGCTGGTGTCTAACTCCCTTCTCTATAATCTGTCAATTCAAAATTAGGGAGGAATATGATCAGATAGCCTTCTTTGCAGCTTTGCGCGAAATTCTAAAACAAACACACAAAACATTACAATTATTTTAGCCTGTGTTTTCTTGTTGTCAAGAGTTATCTGGTGGTATTAATTAAATAAATAAATAGGAAAAAAAATTAAATTTTAACGGAAAGTAGGGATCGTTGGTTATTCGTAGAATTGCTATAAGAAGTATCCCAAACAAAATAAATGCTGCAATAAAAAATACACAAATAAGTAAAGTGATATTAGTTGGATAGATTTTAAAACGATTTTCAACCCCTATTTTGGATGGAATAATCAACGACCCTAATTTCCATTCAAATTTTAAGTTTTTTTCTTATTTATTTGTTCAGTTTTATATGTCCATGGATTGGACACAACATCTATAAACTTTCAGTATAACAATATCCCTGGTAGCTATAAGTTTTACAATAATA